CATCATTTAAGCTTTAAACCTTAGTTTTAATTTTTAAAAAATTTCCCCCTTTTTTTGTGAGGAGTCTCTACGTGGGGCTCAAACTCACAACCCCGAGATCAAGAGTTGCATGCTCCGCCAACTGAACCAGCCAGGTGCCCCTAAACCTTAGTTTGTAAAACACAATTACCCTTAAGCTTATTATAAGACACTGTTGATGTTCACCATCATAATTTAAATGTTATAACCTAATGCCCAGAGCTTGGTTTCTAATACTACTAATACTAATAATTTCTCCTACTTCTTTTTTTTTTAAAGATTTTATTTATTTGACAGAGAGAGAGAGAGAGCACAAGTAGGCAGAATGGCAGGCAGAGAGAGAGGGAGAAGCAGGCTCTCCGCTGAGCAGGGAGCCCAATGCGGGACTCGATCCCAGGACCCTGGGATCATGACCTGAGCCGAAGGCAGCCGCTTAACCAACTGAGCCCCCCAGGCGCCCCCAAAATAATACCACAGGATGTTTAAGATATCATCTTAACACTTACTTCAAGACCAATACAGTTAGTTTGCTTTAGTAACTGTTTTTGTTTTGTTTTACTTTTTATTGTTATGTTAATCACCACACATTACATCATTAGTTTTTGACGTAGTGTTCCATGATTCATTGTTTGTGCATTCTCCTACTTCTAATACCACTCTCCAATGAGAGGAGCCAGGGCTTTTTGGAAAAACAGCCAATACCAAGGCTAGGACAGGAAAAGTACAAGATGAGCCTGGAGTACCTTGTGGTGCCAGAAATTAGGCAGTGCTCAAAGAATGATGGGAAAATAACCACAAAGACACAGGAGCCAACACAAAGGGACTCCCAAGAGCCAACTTTGGGGCAATTTGGGCACAAAAGTAATTAAAGCTACTGATAGATCATTCCCCACTGGATAAAATGCCTGGGTCTGTGGTGATTTAAATAATTTAAAAACTAATGAATAGGGAGGAGGGAACGCTCTTTATTACAGTAGCATTCCAAATAATAAGTGAAGCAGGAATGATAATGGAAAAAGCGACATTCGACAATCATCCCAGTAAGAACTGCTGCAGTCAAGAATCACCAAGGGATTAGGAAGGGAAAAAGGAAGGGGGGGAAATTGGAGGGGGAGACGAACCATGAGAGACTATGGACTCTGAGAAACAAACTGAGGGTTTTAGAGGGAAGGGGGTTAGCCCGGCGATGGGTATTAAGGAGGGCACGTACCGAATGGAGCACGGGGTGTTATACAAAAACAATGAATCATTTCTACACTACATCAAAATCTAATGATATAATGTATGGTGATTAACATAACATAATAATAAAAAACAAGAATCACCAAGGGAGGCTAGAATTAGTCAGTGAAAGTTTGATGAGGAACAGAATATTTACAGAGTCTCAGAGTAGCATGCCTCATGATCCTTATTAATTACAAAGAGGAAAATAGTGTGTAGTGAAGAAATGCAGCAGACATTGCCTTAACTAAGTAATCCAAATTAGCATCAGTAATGGGACAAATTGACAAGCCTGCGCCTCCTAATATAAAAACACACCATTATGACTGTTGTGTTTCTGGCCCAAAATGGAACACCTGAAATTCCATGATGTGGTAACATCAGACAAACCCGAGCTGAGGGAAATTCTACAGAATAACTGGCCAGTGCCCTTCAAAAAAGGTGAAGGTCATAACAGACAAAGACAGGAACTGTTCCAGAATAAAGGAGGTTAAGGAGATTTAAGGAAACAACATGTGCTCCCAGATCAGATCCTGGTCCAGAAAAAGAACATTAATGGGACAACTGATGAAATTTAGATAAGGATTCTAGATTAGTTAATAATATTACATCAATGTTAATTTCCTGATTTTGATCATTGTACTGGGTGTGTTTATATTAAATGTTAACGCTGGGGAAGGGTATACACATCTTGCTCCTCTTACCGTGGAGTTATGCCCTGATAAACCCGTTGTAAGTTGAAAATATTGTAAATCAAAAATGCATTTACTACACCTAACCTATCAAATATTATAGCTCAGCCTACCTTACACATGCTCAGAACACTTACATGAGCCTACAGTTGGGCAAAGTCATCTAATGCAAAGCCTATTGTGTAATCAAGTGTTGAATGTCTCATGTAATGTATCCAGTACCGTACTGAAAGTGAAAAACCAGGATGGATGTCCGCGTATGGGTTGTCTACCCTCAGGATGGCGTGGCCGACTGCGGCTTCCTGCCACCACCCAGCATCGAGAGAGGACCATACCTTACGCTGCTAGCCTGGGAAAAGATCAAAATCCAAAATTCCAAGTACACTTTCTACCGAATGTGTACCGCTTTCGCACCATCATAAAGTTGAAAAATTGTAAGTCGGGAACCATCCGTCCTGAGAAGTTGGAGAGAGAAAACCAGAATCGGGAGGCGGGACAGACAGGAGGGTGGTGTCCCAGAAGCCAAAGGAATAGAGTCAAAAGAACAGAGTGACAAATAATATCAAATGCAATAGGGAGGACGGTTATAGGCCAAAAATAGCGTCCATTAGATCTGGCCAGAGAACAGTCAATGGTGTTGTCCAAGCCAAGCTATTTTGGCACAATTGTGGGTGAAGACAGACCACAGTGAGTGAGGAGGCTAATAGCAAGTGAGCAAGCAAGTATGAACAACCCAAGAAACTGGGGCTGTGACTGAAAAAGATTTAAAAAAAACCAAAAGACTGTGTTTGTTTAGTTGAGAGAGAGCAGGGGCAGGAGCAGAGGGGGAAAGAATCTCAGCAGTCTCTGTGCTGTGCGCGGAGCCTGACGCAGGGCTCGATCCTGCGACCCTGAGATCATGACCCGAGCCAAAACCAAGAGTCCGATGCTTAACCGACTGAGTCACCCAGGCGCCCCCCTGAAAAAGAATTTTTTTTACTAAACAGTTTATTTTTAAAAATTCTAAGGAAGCAGAAAGCAACTTCCATGAGCCATGTGGGATTTTGAAAGTTCTAGAAATCAGTCTATATAGAAGACTATTTGCAATAATATCAGAAGGCTATAAAAAATGTAAGACGCGGACAGTAGGCAGCTGGTAGAAAATTAAGCCCTGCAAATAAAAGTTTAACGGTCATTAAGAAGACCCTGATATAGACATGGAACATTAGCACAGAGATTTAATGAGGGAAATTCTGGGTGACTGGTGGCTGACAATTTTCAGATGAACAGATACAGAATTTTGGAAGAGTTCAATAAGAATACATGGTCCTATAATAGCACCCAGCCTTACTTGTTATAAGCTCATTTCTTTGTTCCAACTAAAGCCAGCACGCGTGACTTACAACAGCAGTTAACTTGCTATAGACATTCCTGTCCTAAAATGTTTTTACAAAATCAGATTTTTCTAAGAACCTCATGGAAATTTTTCTGAGAACATGAGGTATGACATCAAGAGAGGGCTTTAAACATGCTCATTCATTCATTCACTCAATTATTCATTTACTTACTTATTTTTAGGATGAGAGAAACTTGAGTTTGTATAGGCCTCAGGGGAAAGACTAGAAGGAAGGACAAAAGCTATGGAGAATAAAAGTAGCCATTGGACAGATGGAAGAGAGTGAAGGAAACAAAGGATGAAGCACATCAGTCCCTCCCACCCACATCTACGCCGTGTCTACCCTTCTGGAGTAAGGATGATGAGGTTGAATGGGAACAGATGTTCGGAACACTACTGAGGGGAATAAGAGGGGGTGCTGACCAAGGCCTCGTGAAGGATTGTGGAGGGGTGTTTAGGGCCCAGTAGAGACCTGGGCCCATGAATCCATGGAGGAACCAATCTCCACGGTTGTGGGACTTTCTCCGGCGGCACTCTGCAGCCTAGCAGGGGTAGATAAAACGGGCTGTGGGGTTGAGCCACACTGTGGCTTTGCCATCTTGGCAAAGCAGAATTAAGAAGGGTACAAAGGACCTTCAGCAGTTGGGGAGAGAGTGGTGGGATCCAAACGGAAGGGGGAGGTAAGGGAAGCCAGGAGCAGAGTGGTGGAATAGGAGGTCGCCCACGAGTCTGCAGCACAATTCTGCTAGGCAGGGTGGCCAGGGACAACTGGAGAGGAAGAAAATTGTGGCCAGAGAACGGGACACAGCAGGGAAGGGCTGCCCTCACGGCGTCCCCCACCCAGGCCCTCTACCACTGCCGGGGGACTATACGTTCCAGTTTGCCCAGGACTGTTATCCCAGCAACTTGTCCAATTTAGCATTTGTCCCGGAGTTTTCATTTTCCCACCAGGTGTTAGTATTAACCACCGGATCGACCTAAGCCAGGATGGGTCTGGGGGACCACCACTTTTTAATTCCAGCTTCTGCCTTGGTCTCGCCCGCTAGCTTGCGTGGTGCAGAGAGAGAGAAGCAAATTCTCCCTTTAACACAGAGTTAAACCTAAATGGCAACCAGTGATAACCCTTCCCCTTTGTCTAATCTTTTCCAAATACAATGTAACCCTCTCAAGGACAGCATGCTGGGTGTTCACAGATAACAAAGCAAATGCGCTCGGACGTTAGAAGTTCCAGACAACGGACTCATTCTTGTCCCGGGCAGGGACGAGAGGGAGGACTCACCACTGTGCCCCTTGCCGGACACCTGGGTGTCCCGGTGGGATGCGCCGGCCAGCTGTGCCCATGCCAAAGCCCACGACATAGCAGGAAGCTGCCCAGCCACGAGTGGGTAGCCCAGTGGATGCAGTAAATTCCCTCCTTAGGTGTACGTAAAATGTATTTAGAAAACGGAGGCTGGGGCAATCCTGCCGTAGAACACAGTAAGTAATCTGAATGCTCTCGGTACAATGGTCGTGTCATTCACTATATGGTGCAAATCTACGACCCGTGACTTTTTAAAAAATTTGCAATCCACCCTTTAGGCATGGGAGTTCAAACACTGAAGTGCAAAATTAGTGAAAAATTAAATACCACATCTGTTATTCAAGAAAATTGATCATGACTGTGTAACATGAACAAAACACTTGTCGACACTTACCATCCACGTGCACGAAAACCCGACGACATAAATCCACAGAGACGGCATCAGCATCTCCCTCGAAGGTCTGTAGGTATTTTGAGAAGACGGTGCCCAAAGAAGATGATTTAATGGGGTGCGGCTGCACAGAAGGCATTTACATACTGCCCTGTGAATGAGTTGTTTAGATCAAATGGCTTTTCCTCAAGATCCATTTGCTCGTTTTGATTCCGAGGGGCCCGTACACGAGGAAGAGCGTAGCGATAGCTTTAAAGAAGTAGCTCTGTTAGCAGACTTCAGTTAAATGATGCTGGTTATACGGTGCCATCTAGATCATTAGAGGCTTCAAAGAGAAAACCAGTTGTATTAGGGTTCTCCAGGGAAACAGAACTAACAGGATGTGTGTATGAGAGAGACAGAAAGGGGGGAGAGGGATGGGGAGAAGAGAGAGAGGGAGAAAACTAAAGAGAGCGAGAGAGGTTTATTTTAAGGAATTGGCTCACGATTGTGGAGGCTTGACGAGTCCAAAATCTGATGGGAGAGGCCAGCAGGCGGGACACTCAGGGCGGAGGGACAGCTCCAACCCAAAGGCGGTCGGCGGGCCGAATTCCTTCTTGCTCCGGGGAGGTCAGCCTTTTGCTCTACTCAGGCCTTCAAATGATTGGATGAGGCCCACCCACACTGGGGAGGGTGATCTGCTTTAGTCAAAGTCCACTGATTTAAATGTTAATCTCATCCAAAAAACACCTTCACAGAAACATCCAGAATGTTTGTCCAAATTATCTGGGCACTGTAGCCCGGCCGAAGTGACACATAAAATTAACCATCACATTAGTTAATTCCAATACTAGTTCAGTTTTCATCCAGTTCGTGGAGTCAAAGCAAAGCTTAGAGAAATTTATTCTGATGAAGGTGGAAATAATCCAAGATTACTGGGAAAGCTACTCTAAATTCAATTTAAAAAATTCAACGTTTAGGGGGCGCCTGGGTGGCTCAGTTGGTTAAGCGACTGCCTTCGGCTCAGGTCATGATCCTGGAGTCCCGGGATCGAGTCCCGCATCAGGCTCTCTGCTAGGCAGGGAGTCTGCTTCTCCCTCTGACCCTCCTCCCTCTCATGCTCTCTGTCTCTCATTCTCTCAAATAAATAAATAAAATCTTTAAAAAAAAAATTCAACGTTTAGGATAAGTAGTTTTGTGGTGATTATTTTTTTTTCACAGAAATACAACTTTTGGTGGCGCATAGCACCATGATAAAAAGCAGGTTCTTACTAAATGAAGAAGCGTGAAGCAGAAATATACTCAAAATTGGTTGTGGTACATAAATAATTCCTCATTATGTCCAAACAAGGAGACTACAGAATTGTTTCTGGAAAGGCAGGAGTTAGGAAGGGGAATGTTGGGTTACACCCATGCTTTCCTTATCTCTTCCTGCATGAAAATATTCTAGTAAAACAGTGGCATACCTAGCATATTTGACACCCAGAGTATTTTATTTATTTATTTATTAAGATTTTATTTATTTATTTGAGAGAGAGAGAGACAGCGAGAGAGGGAACACAAGCAGGGGGAGCGGGAGAGGGAGAAGCAGGCTTCCCGCGGAGCAGGGAGCCCGATGCGAGGCTCCATCCCAGGACCCCGGGATCATGACCTGAGCTGAAGGCAGACGCTTAATTGACTGAGCGACCCAGGTACCTCAGAATAGATAATTTTTAATTAAAAAATGACAAAATTGGGGTGCCTGGGTGGCTCAATCGGTTAAGCGTCCAAATCTTGATTCCGGCTCATGATTTTAGGGTTGTGAGTTCGAGCCCCGAGTTGGGCTCTTGCTGGGTGCGGAGCTTGCTTGAGAGTCTCTCTCCCTATCCCTCTACCCCCCCACCCCTGCTGGCGTGCACCTGCACACATGCTCTCTCTCAAAAAAAATGACAATTATTTAGTCTATATGAAAATTTTATTTTCTATGAGTAATTATTTTCTTGATTTCTTTTTTGGATTTAAGACAATTTTAATGGGGGGCACGTTGGCCTGACTCTTGATCTTGGCTCAGGTCTTGATCTCAGGGTCCTGAGTTCAAGCCCTGCATGGGGTTCCACGCTGGGGGTGGAGCTTACTTAGACAAAAAAAAAAAAAAGAAACAAATGTAGCTGAGTCCACTTGTGCCAGGGGCCCAGTGCATAAACTGGAACTGCTATGAATTAACTCCTGGTGGAACACAATGTCCGTTAAAAGGATAAGCAATAAAAATGTGCTGATAATGCACCTCAAAGTCTATATCCAAGAGAAATACATTCGTTTATGTACAAAATATGTATAGTGTTCATAGCAGCACTATTTGCAATAAACCAAAGCTGGAAACTGCCCAAATGTCCATCAATAGGAGAATGGATAAGAGGTCTTAGATGCTAGAAGGATAAATAGAGTGAAGAATTGTTTAAGGCAAAAATATGGAACACAGAGCATTGGTATTAACATTTTTTGAAGCAAGGACTATACTAGGCACTCTTGCATTATTTTGTTTAATCCTCGCCATGCCCTGTGATGGAGATATTATCTTCATTTGACGTATAAGGAAACTGAGGCACACGGAGGTCAAGCATCCTGCTCAAGGTATAACACTAGTTAGTGGTGAACTCGGGATTTCAACTCAGATCTTTCTCAATCGGAAGCCCACATGGACCTTTTCCCTTATAGTCTCTTATCGCTCCATGATAGACAGGGGAGGCAGAGAAACTCGGACACTGGTATTCACACACTCATACGCGCTAAAATGATAACTGCTACTATTTCTTGAGCACCTACTAGGAGGCAAGTAGTATGCTGGGTGCTTTACATAAATGATTTTTACAATTCTCATAATAACCCTTCACAGCAAGAATTATTCTCATTTTTTTGATGAAGGCTCACAATGACTTGCCCAGTGTCACAAATCGCTTACCATCACGTATCCCTCAGTGGCCCTAACAGAGGACACCTACTGTGTGCTGGGCACTGTGGTGGGGGCTGGAGCTGTAGGAACGTCTGGAATGGAACGACTGTTACTTGCTTACCTGATGTATGTGAGTAGGGGAAGATCCCTCGCCCAGTTCCATACAGGGATTTGTGGAGGCAAAAATAAAGATCAGTAACAGCAACAGTTCCCATTTACTGATTATGCAATGTCCTAGGTACATAGACGTATGCACACACAGCTACCATGTCTAATCCTCACAACGATCCTGTTAATATCCTCACTTTACTGAGACGAAAACAGAGGCTCAGTGAGTCTGATTCGCACAAGGTCACACGGCAGTTAGGTGTCCCCCGCCGGATCTGCACCCTGACCCGCTGACTCTGGGGCTCTAGGTCTGAACTCGCACACCCAGTTAAAAGTTTTTTTTGGTAGAACTGGGCCACCGGTCGGGAAAACGGAATCCGCAATGCGGTCCAAGGTCTTGGGAAGGGGACGCCCGGCGAGAGAAGCACGTGGTGACTGCAAGCGGAAGAGCCGGCGCCCAGTTTAGGGCCACTAGGAAGAAGCGAGGCGGCGGCAGGTTTGGGAATTCGGGAGCCCTCCGGCTGGGAGACGCAGGGAAAGCGGGACACAGGCTGCGCCCGAGGAGTCCCCGCTTCTTCCGGAGGAAAATTCCCCGCTCGCGAGCGTGGAAACCCGCCGGCGCCGGTGGAGGCGCCCGGGCGGTCGGGGGGGCGGAGCCGAGCGGAGCCGGGGGCGGGGCGGGGCCGGGGGCGGGGCGGGGCGGGGCCTGTTCTGCCTCTGCGCCCGCGGCGGCCTAGAGCGCAGCAGCGAGCAGATCGCTCGGCTTTCCCGCGTGTCGCCACCTTCTGCGGAACCCCCGCCTCCTCTGCTGCGCCGCCGGCTTCCTCCTCTTCAGGCTGCCGTCAGCCCGCGCGCCCGCCGGCTCCGTAATGGCGACCCGCAGCCCCAGCGTCGTGGTGAGCAGCTTGGCCCGCCGGCCGTGGCGGCGGTGGCGGGCGGCCCCTGGGGCGCGCGGCCCGCAGTGAGGTCGCCGGCCGGGGTGGCCCGGGGAAGCCCGGAGGGGTGGGGGGGCGGGAGGCGGCCGCCGTGCCCCGGCTCGGGCTTTACGTCACGCGGGGCGGCGTGGGGGACGGATGGCGAGGTGCGGGGTGGGTGCGCCTGGACGGCCCTGGCAACGAGGGCCGCGTGGGGGAGGAGAGGGTGGAAATGGCGTTTTGGTTGACTAGTGCCGCTGGGGAGCGTGCTGCGGGGAGGGGCCGCGCGGGCCAGTTCGGGAATGATCTGGCGCGCCGCGGGTTGGGGCTGTTTATTGGGGGGGGGGGGCGGCGGGCTTTCTCCGGAGAGGCCCTTCTCTAAACTGGGGTATGCTGCCCAGGTCCTCAGGGTTGCGGTGTAGGGGGCCCAGGCACGGGAACGACCACATGGGAGGGCACGCGGGGACTGGCGTTTGTACCTAGTTCCGCAAATACATAGTGACTGTGCGAATGCGCAGTGCCCGATTGAATCCTCGCAGCAGCCTTGGTAGCGGTAACCGTGCCTTCCTCTTCACACACGAGGAATAGTGAGACGATATTAGGTAATTTTCCCACGGCCCAGAGGTAACCAGGTCTCGAATTCAGATACGCCTCAACCTGGATCCTAAGCTCGTTGATCCTGCAGGGGCAAGAAATGCGAATCTGGTCCTTAGCTCCAAGGACATTCATACCACCATCAGCCTCTCGTATCCTGTCTCCAACCTCATTGGTTCGTTTTGTTTCTCCAACAAGCTAAGCTGCATTCCCCTCCCACCTTTTGGATCACGTTTGCTAAAATGGCCAACGCCCCTCCCAAACAGTTACATGCCTTAGTCTGCAGCATCATCGTCGTTATTTTCCCATTTAGCCGATTACCTGTTGATTGTCTCTCCCACTAAACCATAAACTTTATGAAGGTCAAGGATCACCACCGTAACCCCAGCACATAGGACAGTGCCTGGCATGTAAGGAATTATCAATAATGGTTTGTTGAACTAACAAAGAATTAGCCACTTGAGCCCTAAAAAGGGAGGGATTCTGTTGATATTAGGCCCTGTGGCTTAAGGTAAAGACCAGTGTTCTTAATGGAGTCTGGCCTGGAATCCTGCTTGTTTGGGCTGTTTGCTAGCTGTGTGGCCTTGGGTAACTTACTTCACCTTTCTGATCCTTAATGTATGACTGAGGTGCTACTGAAAAGATTGTAAGACTGTCTGCAGTCTAACTGACTAAACAACTTTTCCATGGTCCTTGACTGGGAATAATAACATAATAGCTATCATTGTGTTTACCTGTATAGTCCTATTTAGTCCTCAGGACAACCCTGTAACAATAGCATGATTATTTTTTAAAAGATTTACTCATTTATTTAAGAGAGAGTGGGGAGCAGAGAGAGAGAATCCTCAAGCAGACTCCCTGCTGAGCTCGGAGCCTGATGTGGAGCTCCGTGCGAGGACCCCGAGATCAATTAGCATGATTATTACCATTTTACAGAGCAGGAATCTTTGAAGCCCTTGAGAGGTTAAATTCATACCCACATGACACAGTTACTAAGAGGAACTCAAACCTAGGTCTCTCTCCAGAGCCCATGCCCTTAAAACGGTTCACTAATAGTAGGTACTTAAAAAAGGGTGGAGGATGTTGTTTTTATTCAGTTGCTGAGGAAGTCAAGATACTTTTAGCTATGATGCCCCGCCCCAGCACGCAGTGAATTATTATTGCAAGAACTGGCTGTTAGTTTTGTTCGAACATTAAGATCTTCATTGTGTTCGCAGTGTTTACAAATTCCTGTTCCTTTTTTAATTTCCTTCCCAAAAATGGTCTGCATGTTAGTAATAACAAACACTCAGTGCTTACTATGTGCTGGTTTCTTTCCTAAGAAAAAGACAAAAGGACCAACCAGACCAGCCCAGGAGAGGGATCTTGGAGTTTTCCTTTAGTTTTCTTTTTTTTTTAAGATTTTATTTATTTATTAGAGAGAGAATGAGAGAGAGCACATGAGAGGGGGGAGGGTCAGAGGGAGAAGCAGACTCCCTGCCGAGCAGGGAGCCCGATGCGGGACTCGATCCCGGGACTCCAGGACCATGACCTGAGCCGAAGGCAGTCGCTCAACCAACTGAGCCACCCAGGCGCCCTTCCTTTAGTTTTCTTGTAGTTCATCAGGTAGTAACTGGGCCATGTCATGTGAGGAGAGGTTACAGATGCGCTAGTGTAGCCTTCTTTCTTTCTGTAATTTTATCCTGTGTGGATTCAGTAAGATTCATATGCTGTAGGAATGTCAACCACCTTTGTTAATATCAATAGTGAGACTCCATTGTTACTTTGCCACCAAGTTACTAACATTTAGAATAATTTGCTACTAATAAGAATTCATACACACTTTAGATTGCTGTGGAACTACTCTCTAACAGTGTGCTTCTCATAATTGATAGGTATATATTTTTTTGTCCAGAATGAACATGGCTATTATTCCGCTGTGCACACTAATAAAAGGAAAGATCACAGCGTAGGATAAGTTCATGTACTTGGACAGATAGTAGTTATGGGCCAACTTACCTAGGAGCAGCTAATAATTTACCCCTGGGTTGAATAGTGAAGAAAGCTGATTTTAGGGGTGTCTGGGTGGCTCAGTCATTTGAGCGTCCAACTCTTGATTCCTGCTCAGGTCATGATCTCAGGGTCCTTGGATCGAGCCCCGCATCGGGCTCCGCACTCAGTGGGGAGTCTGGGGATTCTCCCTCCCTTTTCCCTCCCCTAAAATAAATTTTAAAAATCTTAAAAAAAAAAAAAAAAGGATGCTGATTTTAATTCTTATAATCTTTACATTCTTCTAAACCTTTTATTTTTTTTTAAGATTTTAATTATTTATTTGACAGAGAGCATAAGCAGAGGGGGGCACAGAGGGAAAGGGAGAAGCAGACTTCCCGCTGAGCAGGGAGCCCGACGAAGGGCTCGATCCCAGGACCCTGTGATCATGACCTGAGCCGAAGGCAGACGCTTAACGACTGAGCCACCCAGGCACCCCTCTTCTAAACCTTTTAATTCTTTAACCCCCTAGAAGGGAGGGCAAGCAACTTATATATGTAATTTATTTGTAAGACTGATATAAAATTGGAAGATGAACATATTGCTAGCTTAAATTATTTTTACATTAAGAATTATGTGCATTAGTGATTCATAATTTCAGTTTTATGATACCCTGGGTTATCACAAATTATCCCAAGGGGATGGCATATTCTCTGCTTTGGTGTTTTATAAGAATTTTAATTTTTTTTTCAAGTTTTTTAAGAATTTTAAAGTATCTGAATATAAAAGGTAGAAATATGCTACCCAGCAATTTCTGCCCATTCTAGAAGCTTGGAATTGTTGTTGGCTACTAGGAATAAAATAAAATGTATTTTATCTGTTACTGTACATCTTTTAATTCACATTTTAAGCTCATTTTAAGACTCACTTCCATTCGGTCTTGTCTGGACCCATGAACATCGCTGTATTTTGACCACAAAGAGACTTAAGCAGTCCTAGTCACAGATGATGAATTGATGTTGCTAGTGTTATCTTAGGTTGAGTTAATTTCCTTGCCTGCTGTAATTTTAGATAACATATTTTTGTAATTAGAAATTTTATGTGTAGGGCGCCTGGGTGGCTCAGATGGTTAAGCGTCTGCCTTCGGCTCAGGTCATGATCCCAGGGTCCTGGGATCGAGTCCCACATCGGGCTCCCGGCTCAGCAGGGAGCCTGCTTCTCCCTCTGACCCTCTCCCCTCTCATGCTGTTTCTCGCTTGCTCGCTCGCTCTCTAAAAAATAAATAAAATCTTTAAAAAAAAAAAAAGAAATTTTATGTGTAAACCACAAAAATTTTCACTATGAAAACTATTATAGACGTGACACACATAATCATTAAGAATTTGTGATGCCAGTTTTACTGGGAAGTAAAATTATTTTGGTAATCTGTGATAGCAAAAGTATTGACTATGATTCTAGACAAATGGTAGATGCTAATGTTACATACTCCAATAATCTTACATATTGATGAAAGTACCAGTGTAGAGTTTACTGTTAACAAGCATATTACAGATAGGCTAGAATTTGAGAGCTGTGTTCTAAAGCGCCGAGGGGATGTGGTCAGATTTCTGAACTGTCTGAGTAACTCAGAGCTATTAGTAACCTATTCTTTGGTTTCCAGTTCAGCCAGAAATGGCCATAGTGGGAACGGTGGATCTGGAGAGAAACCATTTTCATTTGCTTACCGCTTCCTGTGCTCACTTCTGGCAGCACATGTACCAACATTGTTCACCACTTCGTGCCCCTCCAAAGCGCTCCCCAAATATTTTGGGGTTGGGCTCTCCGCAGAGCCATCTAGAACCTTCTTTGTGGTCTTCTTTAGCCATTTTAGGTCAAGTTCTTGTTGACATAATAGCTACTCCCACCCAAATGCATATGTTGAAGCCCTAACTGCCAGTGTGTGCTATCTGGTGATTGGGGAGGTAATTAGGAGTAGATGAGGTCATGAGGTTGGGGCCCTGGTCTTTTAGGAAAAGACACCCAAGAGCTCCCCCCCCCCCCACGCTCTACTGTGCACATGGCTAGGAGAAAGCAGCTGCCTACAAGCCAAGAGGAGAGGCCTCAGGATGAAACCTACTTTGCCGCCATCTTGATCTTGGACTTCCCGGCCTCCAGAACTGTAAGAAATAAATTCCTGCTGTTTAAGCCACCCAGGCAGTGGTATTTTGTCATGGCATCTCCAGCAGACTAATACAGTTGTTTCAGAAGGTGTCGGTGACAGCCACGTGCTTAGACATGCAACACCAAGTCAGCAATAATAAAACAGATGTGATTTCCATTCATCCAGAAATGTTACATATTTTTCATAATCAATTACTGCCTGGTTGATATAGAAGGCTGTGCTAATTCAGTATCAGAGACATGCTAGTCTACTTTACTCA